ACCCCTCCTAACTCCTGTTTCTGCCTCTAATATGTCTCTGACTAGACCTTCATGCCTGAGAAGGTGTCCTACCAACCTATCTCGCCTATTTTTTATTGTCTTCCATACAGTCCTCTGTTCTCCTATTCTTTCCAATACTATATATTAAAAGATTTATTTAAAAATTACTACGTTTACTTTTATTTTTAAGATATTTTTCATTGATAAAACTGTTGCTAATTGTTAAATGTAACATTACCTTAAAATAACAATTCAGTTTCGCTCCATTTTGTCCATTCGGACCAGTTTTCGCCGAGAAAAGTAAAAAAACCCCTCTCTACAAATTATGAATAGCAGAATGTGATGTCTCACTAAAATTATAAACAATAAAGGGGACTAGTTCTCCTACTTTTGTGCTAAAGCGTATACCGGCAATGAGAAATTGTTACAAGTACGTATTTTAATCATGCCGTTTCTTATCAAGTACTTAACTTTTCACTTAGCAAGATCAGGACTTTTAATCTGCAAAATATTTTTAATTTATTTTAATTAGTTACAATTATTTATATATACTATTAATTTTTTTCCAGAAAATTTTCAAAAATGCATATCCCTTCCCGATAAGGGTACTAAGAGATATAGTGTACAATAACTGTGTTTTCTGTGTATTGCTATTTTTTAATACTTTTGCTAGTACATTTTATTGAAAAGTTTTTACCATTATGTTCTATAGGTGTGAAAGTTTAGCAGAATTAATATGGACAAATCGACAACAAATTAAAGAAGTTGATCGACTGAAGCAGAAACTCGCCTTGGATCCACCTGGTGTCAGAGACGCCCTTGCACAACTACTGTCTGAAATCACTCAATTACTTAGTTCTCTTGTTACATCGACTTTTATAATTGAAAAACAACCTCCACAAGTTATGAAAACAAACACAAGGTAGAGATAAACTGCTTAAAATTAAATAATTTTTTAAGTAAGGTCAGACACGCCTGCGAAGGCTGATTTTCTCGGTTTTCACGAAACATTCTTAAGACTTTTTTAAGCCAGAAAATCAGCTGCGAAGGCGTACTCATACGTCAATATATCCGTTTTTTCGGTTATAACTGCAAGAAATGATAATAGTGTCGCTAATTGTAATACTGATAAATAGAATTGTTAGTTATTATTCATTTGCGCTTAAAAGACGGTAATCATTTTTTCTATATAAGGGTAAATTAGTATTTGTTAAAGCTTAATCTATTAAAACATTTATTTCTAGCAACAATTCAACATTTATCGACACAACCCGCAAATCAACAGGAAGCGCAAGCAAATCTTCAGAAACTTACGAGACAGAAGGAAATTATGGAACAGTTATTAAATCAAAAGGTATGTGACAAGTTTGAGATTTGAGACAAATCTTCTTAAAAACTACTTCCTTTTTTAAGATCGCAGGACTGATGCAGTTAAGATTGGCTTTAGGAGACAAATTACAAGAAACTTTTACATTAATCAACACCCTTCAGGCTCAAGTTCTAGATGAAGAATTAATACGTTGGAAAAGGGACCAACAATTGGCAGGAAATGGGTCCGTTTTTAACAGTAACTTGGACACAATTCAGGAATGGTAATTAACAACAATTCTTTAATTCTTATATGCTAAATCTTAAAGTTGCTGTTTAGTTAACTTGGAGATTTACTGAAATTTATACAATCTGAATTGCATTAATTAAAATTAGATGCAGATAACTACCAAACCTGTACTTGTTGATTATTTTTCTTTTGAAATAAAACACTTGAAAAAAAAATTATGAAACGAATTTGTCAAGATTCAATATAAATATATTTAGTGAAAGTTATTTTTCAAGTGTTTTATTTCAAAAGAAAAATAATCAATCTTCATTAACGACATACCCAAGTTCAAAAACGACAAAACCTCCCAAATTTTCCAGTTTGCAGACGACCCAGCCATAATCCAAACTAGCAGGAACCTCGAAGACGCAAAAAACAAAATGGAGATAAACCTAACAGAAATTTCTAAATACGCGAAAAGATGGAAAATCAAAATAAACGAAAACAAAACAGAAGTCATATGCTTCCACAACAAAAATCCGCTTAGAAACTACGTAAAGTTCAACAACAAATCAATCAAAATCAAAAACCAAGTGACTTACCCAGGAGTAACGTTGGATTGGAAACTAAACTTCC